GCGCCCGCCCCCGCCCCCGGGGGGGGGGGTGCCGGCCGCGGGGGGGGAGGCCCTTCCACACCCAGCATGCGCAGCCGAGCTTCGCCCCGCCTCTCTCCTCCAGGTCCAGCCCCCTCTAGCCCGCCCCTTCTGTCTTGGCCCCGCCCCGCAGCCTCTGAGACTCAGGCTTCAGCAAGTTTCTGCCTCCTCACTGACGGATTTTTTTTTTTTTAATCCAAAGGATTTGTCCAAATGATGACTGCTCCATACAAAAACTTGGGGGCGACTCAAAGAATATAATAATAGTAATTTTAAAATTAATAGTTTAATGAGTACTTGCTTTTCAAATGTCAAGTTCCTTCTTGCATCCTACCAATGACACAGGAAAATGTCAGTATTAATGTCAGCATAATAAGGCCTCTAGAGAAATCCTAGCTCTACATTTACTCCTAGAACCTAGGACAAATTACTTGCTTCCTCCACAGCGCTGCTCCCTGTAAGACAAAAGGAAGAGCAAGAATCTTCAGGTGGGACAGTTTTGTTAATTAACATGTAGCAAGCAATCAACAAAGGCTATACAACCACAAACTGACATGCCTATGTAGCTAGAACTGAAAATTGGTGTTCACAAATCAAACTTACCTTGCCGAGTGTGTGCTATCTCTGAAAAAAGAGTCAAAGACCTACTTTAGAGGACCGTAGTAGAAAAATACCTAACTTTTCACTGCGGTTCTTCTGTCCTTTGCCGCATATCAGTGCACCTAAAACATGCCCTGGCACAGTCCTTCATCATGAATGTCTCCACTCACTCTTGCTCCCATGTACAGTACATTTATCCACCCTGGCCACAGATCACTCAATCTTCCGGCTAGTGTTCTTCAAAAATGACTTTCTAAAAGGAAATCCATCTTGGTCTTCACCCTGCCTTTATTTCTTATCTCTGACTATGTTGATAGTCCTCCTCCACACAATCTTGACTTTTTTTTAACTGTCACTTTGTCCAAGGCAACCTCCTTTACATTCCAGAGGCTGGAAATCCATGCCTTCTAGCAGCACATAGTGTCTCTTTAATCCCAACACTGAGGAGGCAGAAGCAGGTAGGAATGTTTTGGTTTGTATGTCATTGTCAGGGTACTCAAGTGCTCAGAGTTGGTAGGCACCTATCCTCATTGTGGGGTCATAAAGTCCACAGAAGACTGAACTCCTAGACGAGCCTGCCCCGTGTAGACACAGGAAGCACACAGCTCCTCCCATCCTTCTTCGTACTCAGAATACCTCTAGTCATTCAAAATCCTCTTAGAAAAGGCTATCCAGGTCAGACAGTGGTGGCACAAACCCTTAATCCCAGCACTCAGGTGGCAGAGGCAGGCAGACCTCTGTGAATTCCAGGCCAGCCTAGTCTACAGAGCTATTTCCAGGAGAGCTAAGACTGTTACACAGAGAAACCCTGCTCGAAAAAACAAAACAACAAATAAAAAAGTCTATTCAGGGTCAGGCTTGCCACAGGCTGAGATGTAGTAATGATTTCTGTGAAAGACTTGTTAGACGCCCCCGGAAAACTCAGGCCTCCGGGGTCCCAACCCAGGACCGAGGTCACACCAATCACCAGGCAGATTCGAAAACTTGCTGCAAACTGCATGAGTCTTTATTGTTGTTTAACGAACTAACCCCATGTTAGCTCAGTCTTTCACCCACCCGCCATGGCGGATGGCTAGCAAAGACAGCTCCAAGCGTCTGCATAGAGATCTTGTAGGGCAGAGTAAGGGGAGTGTCTAGGGGTACGTACAGGCTCAGGATTGGTGTGCCTCCAGCTTGGAGGGCTTGCCCTGTGTTGATTGGCCAATTGGTTGTTATGGCCCATAGGCCCTCCCAGGGTGGTTGCTATGCTCTGCGCATCATTGCTGTGCACTTGTCCACAAAGCACACCCAGAGCCGTAAAGCATAGCACCACCAGCTAACTTCTGATTGGTTCCTTGCCACGAGGCAGGCATCTGACTTCTAGTGACTAGGATAAGGTCATGGCAAGCATGTGTTACTGTCATGGCTGCCAAAATGGGGAGCTGGTCCCTTCAGACTGAGGAAATCATGAGGTTATTGGCATTCCTTCCTGGATGTGTTCCTTAACTTAATAATCAATCCAGGCCCAGGAATTTTTGTTATAATTAAAATTTTAAAATATCCCTGCACATTTATCTTTATCTTTTCCTCATTTTTTAAAGATTTATTTACTTATGTATACAGTGCATGCCATAAGAGGACACCAGATCACATTACAGATGGTTGTAAGCCACCACGTGGTTGCTGGGAATTGAACTCAGAACCTCTGGAAGAACAGTCAGTGCTCTTAACCCCTGAGGCATATCTCCAGCCCCTATCTTTTCCTCATTTTTTAAGTATACATTCCTAACCTTCAGGTTTCTGAATTACAGACATTAACTACTATCAAAGTGCTCATTATCTCATTGTCTTCCTAATTGCTTCTGTGGTTGCTAACAAGGTGGTTCTAATTTCAACCAGCTCTCCCTCCTGCCTGCCTCACCTTCCTGTCCTCTACTCTTCCTGGATCAGTAGGCAAGAAACTGTCATTGCCAAAAAGATGTGTTGATGGGTTGGGAGTATACTTATCATCTATTTGGACATCTTCCTTTGTTTGATGTTGTATTCTAGGAGAGAGGCGGGAGAGAGGAGAGAGAGAGTACAATACATAGAGTTTATAGCAGAGAGCCTTACAAACAGTATTGGGGCAATGATGTGTTTGTTGCCTCCTGGGTTTTATTCAAATTACCAGGTGACTTTGTGGTGCTGCTGAAGGCAGAGCCACCCTCCCATTCCTTGTTGTCAAGCTACCCACTGTTGAACTTCCTTCCATCACACTCACTGCCCAACCTGTGACTAGCTGGCAGCCTTGGGACATGTGTTGCAGAGTCCAGAGAGTGCTATACTTTTCTGAACAGTGTGGTGCGTATAGAAGGAAAAATCTGAAGTGTTCCAGACTAGAACACAGTAGAAAGACATCCCTCCAGGCCAAGAAATGAAGGGCCTGTTGCTTACCTTCTAGCAAGTCCCCAAGCTTGTGTGGAGGTGACAGGGAAGCTACATACATCAAAGGGTCAAACTTAGTCAGGAGATTTGAGTCATGAATTGGCGTTTGGCAATACCATTGCTGTTCTGGTCTTCTGTAGTGATTATCTTCTCTTACCCTTTGCTCTTTGGAATGTTGAGTGCCACAGGGAGGACAGGGAGGACAGGAAGGGTTATAGCCTGGAAAATAAGGTAAAAGAAGGGGCCAGGACCCCACGTGGCCTTGGGGCTCATGCTTTCCTCTCCACAGTTGAACTCCACTGCTACAGAGAGGGACAGAATCTGCTCCTACCCACCAGGCACAGGATGGCTTTGGGCCATTTACAGCCATCCCTCGCCATTCCCACCTGGCTCATTTCTCTGCTCTCAGGTTTGTCACTCTGCTTGGTACTGACCAGTGGACAAGACACTACTACCATCACCAAGAAGAGGTTGATGATCTGGGAGTGTAGCTCCATGTACAGCATTTGTCTAGCAAGGTCCTGGGTTCCATTCCTAGCATAGCCAAAATAAGAAAAATGTTGCTGAGGATAAACAAATATATCAAGTGTATTTCTCACTCTACCAAAAACCTAGTCAGATAAGAAAATCCTTAATACTTACCTGGCAAGGGAGATACCATGATCACAAAGGTGGTTTTCCCAGGGAGAGAAGGTTTAGCCATTTCATTCGAGGTATGCTCACCCCTGAGATTTCCCTAATTCAGGAAATTTGACTGCATAATTTGTGGTAGTAGGGGACTGTGGTGGCACTCTTCCCAAGACAGGGAGAGAGAGAGAGAAGAAAAATCCTTAATTACAAGTACTGGATTTTAGCCAGGTGGTGGTGGCACATGCCTTTAATCCCAGCACTCAGGAGGCAGAAGCAGGTAGATCTCTGTGAGTTCGAGGCCAGTCTCGTCTCCAGAGTGAGTGCCAGGATAGGCTCCAAAGCTACGCAGAGAAACCCTGTCTCGGGGAAAAAAAAAGAAAAAAGAAAAAGAAAAAAAGAAAGAAAAAAGAAAAACAAACAAAACAAAACAAAACACCAAAAGACGAGGCCTCTTTACTCCTATCCCAGTCTCCTAGACAACTGAGATTTTGCAAGACTTCCCAGGGCTTTGGGGATGCATATGTAGTAAACTAGCATCACCCCAGCTCTCTAAACCCAGGGACCCAGCTGCCTGCCCTGCACAGGTCCATCTTGACCCCAGTAGGGGAGGAGTCTTCAAGTCTCAGTAGGATAGGACTCATCATCTGGACTTCACATATGTTCACACAAGACTGCTCTGAGCAAATCTTTTCCAGTTACAAGTCCAGTATCCTGCCTGTGAGCACAGTCAGAGGACTCCTCTTATCCCTTGTCCCTGAGCCCTGCCTTTGAGATGCTAGGACTGGCATCTAGCCCCAGAATCCTAGAACATTCACTCCAAAGTTCAGGAGCCTCAGAGTGTAGCACTGTATGAGTCCATAGCTCCATGGGCACCCTTTCCCACCTTTTCTGAAAATGATCTTATGTAGCCCATGTTGGCCTAGAATTCCCTTGGTAGCCTAAGGTGGCCTCTGAGCTGGATTCCTCCTGCCTTCATCTCCAGAATGCTGGGATCACAGGCATGAGCCAGTTCTCCGTGTTTTGGTTTCTTTTTCTTCTTTTTCAGGAGACAGTAAAGTATTTGCATCTCCACAGAGGCTACCAGCAAATTTGTGTGGTCAAGGTCCAGGTGTCCATGTTCCTGAATTATATTATGGCAAATGTATGGCCATCAAGGACACAGGACGAAGTTAAAAGGGCAGGTGTAAGTCCACTGTAATCCAGAACTGGTGACAAGTTTTAAAGGAAGTGGCATTCAGTGGGCAATAAGAAAGTAGGGTCAAAAACCGGCTCTCAGCAACCACGTTTTGGGGGGCAGCCATTTTCGAAGGCAACAGGAATGATACTTCAGCTTGTTTGCCTTTCAAATCTAAAGTAATCAACTAGCTGTGAAGGTGCATTGTCATTACGGCCTGTTGCAAGGGTTGTACCACAAATTGAGAATGTCAGGCCTAGGGCCGGGAGCTGGTGGCAACCTCTGTTTCCTTTAGGAGATAACACATGGTTTAGATCTGCACTGGCCAAGAAGACTATAGACAATACCCTATTTGCCATTCATTGCACAAGTATTTGTGGAATTTCTGTACACATCAGTAATTATACCAGGAGTGGAGAGAGGGGAAAGTGTCTGTGTGACGTGTGCAAAGACACTGGGACAGTAGAGAACATGGTAACCCTAAGAACTGAAAGAGTCTAGTAGCATTGGAGAGCAGCAAGGCATGGAGGAATGGTACTACGCAAGGCAGGGAGGCCTGCCAAGGCAAGGGGGCAGAGGGTGGTGCTTGGCCGAAGGTTGTTTTGTGATGCTGGGAACAGAATTTGGATCTTCTCATACAAGTGTTGAGCCACACTATCCCTATCTGTGTCCCCATTGTTAAGGTTCAAACCTGAGACAAAAGGCTGAGGTGCCTATTTAACATATCAAATCAGACCTGGCCACCAGGTTCTCCCAGCCTTCCTCAATCCACACCCATGACAGGGTATGCCTGGAATACCCCACCCTCTAACCTGAACCTGTAGCCCAGGGACTGGGCTGCCCTTCCCCAAGAGACTTTTCCCTATATAATTCAGACATTTGGTTACCCATCCTTTTGTACCTTTGACCTCCTGGCCTCTGCACCTGGTTGCCCTCTCACATGGCTCAGGGTCATGACCACTCAGGACTCTCCCAGAGGTCTCTGACTCTGGCTATGCGCTCTCCCTTTTATCTACAATAAACTTTCTCCCCCACCATTCTTAGGAGCAGTTAAGTCTTTTCCTTTTGTTTCCTTTGTAAGACCCTCGGAAAACTCAGGCTTCCAGAATCTTAGTCCAGGACTGCGGCCACCCCAATCACAGAATGGAGGCGAAAGCTTGATGCAAATTGCATGAGTTATTGTAGTTTAACGAGCTAACCCCATGTTAGCTCGGGTCTTTGATCCACCCGCCATGGTGGATGGCTAGCAAAGACAGTTCGAAGCTGCTGCGTACAGATCTTTATAGGGCAGCGTAAGAGGAGTGTCTAGGGGTATGCACAGGTTCAGGATTGGTGTGCCTCCAGGCTTGGAGGGTTTGCCCTGTGTTGATTGGTCAACTGGTTGTTATGGCCCATAGGCCCTCCCAAGGTGGTTGCTATGCTCTCTGCGTCATTGCTATGCGCTTGTCCGTAAAGCACACCCAGAGCCATAAAGCATAGCACCACCAGCTAACTTCTGATTGGTTCCTTGTCAGGAGGCAGGCATCTGGCCTCTAAGTGACCAAGACAAGGTTATGGCAAGCACGTGTTCGGCTGTTATGGCTGCCAAATGGGGAGCTGGCCCCTTCACCTTTTTTTCATTTACCCGTGGTTCCCTCCCCCCCCCATTCTGCCCCATTTGAACCTAAAAGGAGCCAGTGCTCTGAGGCAGAGTGGTGCTGTGTTGTGAAAAGGCCTCTGTGTCTCCAGTACCATGCGTGAAGTGTGACCTCTCCACACTTTAGCTAGCACTTGGTGCATAAGTATCCGCTGTATGTTTGCTTGGTTTTGAGACAGGCTATCACTATGTAGTCCTGTCTGGCCTGGAACCTGTGATAATCCTCCTGCCTCTGTTCCTCGAGCGCTGGAATTACAGGTATGCCCCACTACACCTAGCTGATACATACATACCAGGATTGTTATTGAATATTCTGGGTTTTAATGTCTAGAATCCAAGAATCATTTAAAACAAAACAACAAAACCAGAGGCAGGGATCAACCTTGCTAAAGTTCTAAATAAGACTAAACAAAATGATAAACATTTTTTTTCAGGACTGGGGAGAAAATTAAGGTCCCTTTGTGCTCTGGGCAAGCACTCAACCAGTGAGCCAAACCCAAAGTCCTCTTTTTGCCTTTTAAGGTTATATTTAGTGCAAAGTTCTTTGTTATTGTTATTAGGCTTTTTTTGTTTTTTCTTTGTGGTGGTGGTAAGAACTCATGACTGTGGGCAAGCTCTCTACCACTGAGCTTAGAAGACCACTCTCTTCCCAAAGGCAGGCTCTTGCTATGCAGCCCAAGCTGTTCTTGACCTCTCATTCCTTCTGCCTTAGCCTCCTGAAGGCTGGGGTTACAGGTGTAAGCCTGTACCAACCAATCTATTGTAGACTTTTGATTAAGAAGGTAGTACAAGCAGTTTTCATATCACCTGCCCCTGCTTTCCTCTGTTATTAATATACTACATTAGAACAATGCATTTGTTACCAATAATGTATCAGTTTTCATACACTATTTTTAGTTAGAAAAAAAAGCTTATTCAGATTTCCTAAGGGATTTGTTTAAATGTAAAGAAATGTATTATTTTTTGGGTAAAGGGGCATGTGACTTCACGGCTGTGAAGGGGCAAGTCAATTTCTCTCTCTTTCTCTCTCTCTTGACACAGGGTTTCTTTGTGTGGCTATCCTGGAACTCATTCTTTAGACCAGGCTGGCCTCGAACTCACAGAGATTCCCCTTACCTCTGCTTCCTGCATACTGGAATTAAAGGCATGCGCCACCATCAATGGCCAGTTCTCTCTTTTCACCAGGCAGATCCCAGGAATTGAATTCACATCATCAGGCTTGGCAGTAAGAGCCTTTACCCACTGAGCCATCTCACCAACCCAAGATTTTCTCAGTTGTTCTAAACTAATGTCCTTTTCCTATCCCGAAGCCCCACCCAGGATTCCTGTACTAGTTACTTTTTATTGCTAATATACCACAAACAAGGCAACTTAGGGAAGAGAGAGTTTATTTGGGTGTATAGTTGGCACCCATGACTTTGGACCAAAGGAATAACATAAGAGAAGGAAGCTGAAGGCCCACCTGAATCACACAAGTGCAGAGCAGAGGGTAAACTCAAAATAGCATGAGTCTTTAAACTAAAGCCTTCTCCAGAAAGGCCACACCTCCTCAGCCTGCCAAAATGATGCCACCGACTGGGGACCAGGTATTCAAATGCTCAAGACTATTAGGGATGTCACTATCACCTTCTCTACACAACACTTTGTCAAATCTCAGGTTGAGTGGCACACTATTTTGTATGAACTCAGAACAGATTTTAAAATGCATATGTTTCTTTCTGGAATTTTCTGTTTATCATGGCTTACAGATAGTTGTTAGCTACAATGTGGGTATTGGGAGATGAACCTGAGTCATCTGGAAGAGTAGCTCTTAACCACTGAGGCGTGCCTCCAGCTCCTAAGATTACATTTGTTTGTTTGTTTGTTTGTTTGTTTAAATTATGTGAGAGCAAGGGTGTACATGCGCAGGTGCCGTTGGAGGTCAGAGGTATCAGAGCTCCCTGGAACTGGGGTTATGGACCACTGTGAGCTGCCTGTTGCAGGTTCTGGGAATAGAACACAGGTCCCCTGAGCAATAAGACATCTTTCTAGCCCCTCTATTTTACTTATTTATTTTTTCCGACATAAGTTTTTCTCTGTGTAGCCTTGGGTGTCCTGGAACTCACTCTGTAGACCTGACTGGCCTTGAACTCACAGAGCTCTGCCTGCCTCTGTCTCCTGAGTGCTGGGATTAAAAGTGTTTGTCACCACACTGGGCTGTATTTTTATTTGTAATTAATTACTTTAAAGGTATAGTCTCAATGCGTATCCCAGACTGGAACTTACTCTCTAGCCCTAGACTGACCTGGAACTCATAGACCTCCAGCCTTTTTTCTAGGTGACAGATGTCCACCCCCACTCCCAGAGGATCTCTCCTCATG